ATTTGATCTTTAAAAAAAAGAAAATAAATTTAGCAAGCATGTTTCTTTTCTAGACTTTGTGATGTTTGTGTTATTTGTCAGCTTTTTAAAATTACAAGTTGCAATTTGTGGTGTTTTTTTTGGGGGGGGAGACAGAGTCTCTCGCTCTTTTGCCCGGGATAGAGTGCCGTGGCATCAGCCTAGCTCACAGCAACCTCAAACTCCTGGGCTCAAGCGATCCTCCTGCCTCAGCCTCCCAAGTAGCTGGGACTACAGGCATGCGCCACCATGCCTGGCTAATTTTTTTCTATATATTTTTAGTTGTCCAATTAATTTCTTTCTATTTTTAGTAGAGACGGGGTCTCGCTCTTGCTCAGGCTGGTATCGAACTCCTGAGCTCAAACAATCCGCCCGCCTTGGCCTCCCAGAGAGCTAGGATTACAGGCGTGAGCCACCGCGCCTGGTTTATAGTTATTCTTTATGTTACCTTAAGATAACATAAATAAAGAATAAATCTTTATGTTATCTTAAGTGCATCACAAACCTGGATCCCCTGTTTATGACCATCTAACATATATTTTACTTATTTATTTATGCAGGACTTTCTACTTCTTTCAGAAGGTACACTCTAATTTAGAAAATCCCAATACAAAATTATTATACAATAGTAAAGGCTTTGAAAGGACCTTCCTCACTGGCTACTCTTTCTCACTTTCCTTGGTTGATCCCTCCTTATCTTTCCAATCACTCAATAGTGGACTTCCCCCCTCCCTGGCTTGGTCCTTGGGTCCATGGAAAAGTAGTTCTTTAAGGCAAAGAAATCAGGCGGACCAAAGGCCCTGGAGGACAGTATTTAGCAGCTGAAATGCTGCCCTGTTTCTGTTGATCTTTTGCTGGGGCTTTGAAACAGGAAAGTCTCTCACTCAGGAAAGTCATTAGTTATATTTTACAGTCAGCCTGGGCTCTCCAGCTGGATTCATTTCAAGCCCCACTTCCCATGCATGTCTGGTTTGTTTGTGGTTCACTTACTGTCCTATTTCACTCTCCTGATGATGGTCTCACAGCCCCTGCCCGCCACTCTTTAGGTCAGTCTTATTGTGGAACCTAACGGCTCTGAAAGAAGCCTTTCAAAAGAAGAAAGCTGAATCTACAGATCAGAACCAGAAGTGTCCTTAGGGATCATGCCATATGGAGTCATAAAGTACAATCTAAACTGGGGCTTATTAGATAAAAACCCAGTGAAGCAGCAAGCTGTTTCCTGACTACATCTTAGATTTTATCTTTTCTACCACCATGGACATTGAAGACTATTGTTCTTGCCCACAAATACTCACTTGCTTTTCTGAAAATACAGGACCCTGTCTCCATAGTTTATAAGAACAATTCTCAAGTTGTTAAAAATATAATTCTCCTGTTCTATATCTTGATTAGGGTAGTGGTTACATGAGTATATACGTTTTTCAAACATCAGCCTGTACACTTAAAATGTGGGAATTTTACTATGTGTAATTTCTACCTAAATAAATTTGATTTCACAATTATAAATAAAATGAACAACAAATAACTAACCTTTTGGAACTTCCATGACAGACAAACAAAAATACCCTTAAGAGATTAAAAACGTAAGTTGCATACCAATAGAGAGTGAGCGTATTTGATTGTTAATGAAGGAACCAATAGTATGATAGAGTTGGTTTGAAAAGAATTTGAGAATAGTTAATGGGCAAAGGTATCCTGAAATATGACTGCTAAGTTGCACTCAACCTATTTCATATGCCACAGGGCAATAAAACCATAACCTTTTAGATTGTCTTCTCCATTGGACATACAAAAATTACTGTACCTTATCTCTACAAATAAACCTCTAAATTTACAGAGTTGTAAAACATCACTGGGTCCTAACCAATTGTTAGTCAAAGTTAAATTTCTCTGGAGTCAGATGTTCTTATGTGGGTTTCTTAGGAATTCTTTAGCAGGATATTAAGAAGTCACCTAATCACCATTTGCCATATTTTCAGATATTAGATAATTTTCCACCACACTAGTTTTCATTATTCCACTTTCAATAAAGACAGGAGGCCAGGTGTGGTGGCTCACGCCTATAATCCCAGCACTTTGGGAGGCTGAGCCAGGAGGATCACTTGAGGCCAAGAGTCTTACACCAGCCTAGGTTACACAGACCCCATCTCTGCAAAAAGTAAAAAAAACCAACTAACTGGGTATGGTGCTGCACATCTGTAGCCCTAGTTACTAGGGAAGCTGAGGTAGGATTGCTTGAGCCAAGGAGTTTGAGGCTTCAGTGAGTGAGCTATGATCATGTCACTGCACTCCACTCTGGGCAACGGAGTGAGACACAGTCTCCAAAAATAAAAAAGACAACTGCCTTTAGGCCTCAATGTGGAGATAACAGAAGATGGTAGGGACTGTGGCAAACAGAACAACAGAACATCATGCCTCATCTAAAGGGGAAAGTTGCTATGCAGCTCCAGCTAACTGTTGTGGGAAAGCTCGTCCTGTATTGCCACATCTTCCCATTCTGAAGAGACTCCGGAAATCAAAACTTTTATGTGAAAGCTCTCAATTTTTAAATGTCAGTGGCTAGTTCAAATTTCTCTAAAATACTATGAAGCCCACAGGATGAGGAAAAGAGAGAAGGAAAGGAAAGCCAACTTTCTGAATCTGGCCTGATTTGTTCTCAATATCTGACCTAGAACAACACCTTCTGATGGGAAGAGTAAAGCCCAGAGAAGGGAGGCACTTGCCCCCAAATCACTAAGTGAGTTGGGACCAAACAGGACTAAAACCCAAGTCCCTGGATTCCCAGGCAGAGGCTTTCTCCACATTGCAGGTATTTGCTTTCTCCCAGCAAGCGCTTCATGTTTATTTATAGATTTACCGAATGTAGATGACTTGTGTGTGAATGCTCACAGTACCCTTAGGTCAAGTTTAAGCCACTGTGATGTGCCCACTGTGGTATAGAATTTCTATGGGCCCCAGCCTGCATCATACCATTATTTATTAATAATAAGAACAATAGTTACCAGTTTTTGATCAATAACTCTATGCCAAGCTCTGTACTAGGTGTTTTACTTGCATTATATCATTTAATCTTTATGATAACGGTATTATGATATAGTTACTGCTGTTACCTCCAGTTTACTCATGAGGAAACTGAGGCTCGGAAAGGTAAAGTCACTTGCTCAGAGCCATGGCTCCATGTATTTATGGCTCCAAAGCTGATGTGCTGTCTTTCATTCAATGAATCAATCGTCAGTCAAATACTTGCAATGTACTTATGCCGTTTGCTGAGCCAGGAATTATGGTGGAATACAACTTCATAGATCCAAGTTCCAGTCTAAAACCCTCAGTCTGAGATTAACTGGCTCCACACTCAACCCACATCTGATTCTTCCCAATGCAATATAACAAGTGGTTCTTGCAAGACAGAGAAGGTTGGGCTATGTAATTTATACTCAACAATGTTGATTTAAAAATTAGAAATAAAATTAATAACCACCTCTAGATGTCTAGGGATCCTGTTCAAATTCAAAGGTCTCTGATTTAAACATCTTGGTGGAACAGATGTCTTGAAGACCAGATACACTGATAGTAGGAAGAAAATAGTTAGAAAAGATAATTGGACCAAAATAATCAGGGGTCTTGACGTGAAGAGAATTGTGCCTTAGGCAGCATATATGCCTTGGATTCTACAGAGAGAAACTAGAGGGATATAGACTATTTTGGAGGTTATTACCAGAAAAATAAGAGGAATGAATAATAAAGTTATTTTAGGGTGCATTCAGCAGGAGTCAGGTGTAAATACCAAGATTTCAATTAGACTCTCTGGAAACAGTTTCCGGCAGGCTTTTCACTTAAGAAAGCAGTATGGTGGAGAGGACTTTGGCCTCAGATAGATCTGGGTTCAAATCCCAGTTCTTCAACTTTCTAGCTCTGTACCCTTGTACAATTCACATAACATCTCAGAGCCTCAATTTCCTGATCTGCAAAGGGGGTATAATAATACGTACTTGTTAAGGCTCTTGTGAGGGAGGACTAAATGATTTAGTGTATATCAATCACTTGATAAATGCTACATGTTCAGTGTTTCTTTATTTCCTCTATTTCCTTCTAGCTACAAGTGGAATTGGCATATGCCCTTAGCCACCATGGGGCAGAGGACAGTTCAAATAAACATACAGCTTTTTTCACCATACCGTACAATGATAATCCTCACAATGCTGTTCTTCCAGCACTGCAAAATCTGGAAACGCTTTTCCAACTGTCAGAAAGATTACATTTTAACTGGGCTGAGTTAGAGGATTTATATGTGGGAAGAAGTTTTGCATGGACACAATAACTGGTCCCATGAGAGGTGGGCAATCATGAACAAGTCTAGTATCTCTCTGCTTTCCGTTTCTCGTCTATTAATATAATATAGAGATGGTCCTTCTTGCCTACTTTATGGAAGTGTTCGTGGAGTACGGGGTTGTGAGAAGTCTTACAAAATAGTGCACCCGCCTGGCATAGTCACCTAGCTCGGTGACCGGCTGTCACATTGAACTGTTGCTCTGATGTAAATCTATTGCACTGGAAGCTGTTATTGCACAGTTTATAGTAATATCTCCAAACTTTAACATATTTTCCTACATACATTATGCGTTTGTGGAAAGTTCATTTTTTGCGTTCATTGATTCAAAACATATTTATATCTGTTTACACGTAGAGTGTGGCTGCTTCACTTTCCTTTGTGAGAGGCTGTAGATCATCTTAACATGATTGGCTAAAGCATCTGCCTGTTATCTTTCATGGGGCGGGGGCGGGAAGGAGGAAAGAAAAAAAAAAAAATGAGTGTCGTAAATTCAGCTGTTTTATTGGCTCCGGTAGGGACGTACGGCGAGCGCCGTGAGCACTTCAAATTTTTGATTGGTTCTTACGTCCGCCAGTCTCGCTCCTGGACGCCCTGTCCAATTCTCTTGCTTGTACCATGCGCTCCCTCCCCCATTGGCTGTCGAGGGGGGAGGGGGGTTAGGCTGGGAGGGTTGTCATTGGTCCGGCACGCTCCAGCCGCCCGAGCCCGCCCCCGCTCGGTTGCCGTGGTTGCAGGCCCGGCCCGCCCGCTCCCTGGCTGACAGCAAGACTTAGAGCGGAGGGAAGTGGGCCCGTTGGTCGGTCGGGAACGAGGCTCTGGCGGCCCGGCCCGCGCGGAGCCGTTGCCATGGCAGCCGCTGCCGGGGACGCGGACGACGATCCTCGCTCGGGCCGCTCGAGCTCCGATGGCGAGTGCGCGGTGGCGCCAGAGCCGCTGACGGGCGCCGAGGGCCTCTTCTCCTTCGCCGACTTCGGGTCTGCTCTGGGCGGCGGCGCGGGCCTCCCGGGCCGGGCGTCCGGCGGGGCCCAGTCCCCGCTGCGCTACCTCCATGTCCTGTGGCAGCAGGACGCGGAGCCGCGCGATGAGCTGCGCTGTAAGATCCCCGCTGGCCGGCTGAGGCGCGCCGCCAGGCCCCACCGCCGGCTCGGGCCCACGGGCAAGGAGGTGCACGGTGAGGAGTGGGAACGGCGCGGCGGAGGCCGGGGGAGGCGGGGCCGGCCCTGGCCGCGCTCGTGGCGACCCACCTGGGCGAGTGACAGGGCCTCTGAGAACCAGCCCCGACCTCCCGCCAACCCTCAGTCTGGAGTCCTCCGACGTCCGAGCTAAGGGGCCCAGAATGTCTCCTTTCGGTGATAATAATAGTTATTATTATAGTTGCAAAGAACTATAACATTTTTTAAAGTCTTCCTGCTCAGAGCCAGTCACCAGAGACTTTTCTCACTTGGTAATATCTGAATAGAAACTTTCCATGACTCCGGCTGTTTATTAAAAGATAATAAAATGGGGTACTGGAGGACACTTTTATTATTAGAGAGAAGGGAGGCCAGAGTCTGTAGCCAAGTTGCAGTAACATGTTTAAATACACAAACTTGGATCGGACTCCTCTACCACATTTAGGCCTTAGGAAAACTATAGGCCCTATCAGCTTTAGTTTTCTCATCTGGAAAATGGGTACAATATCTGCCTTACAAGAATGAGTTAACTAAGGTAATGAACATGTTGGTTGATACATGATGATTTGTAATCCTCATAAGAACTCTTTGAGATACAGAAATTGTTCCCATTTTACTGACAGGGAAACTGAGGCTCAGAGAAATTGACTTACTCCAGGTCACATGGAAAGTGGCTGTGCTGGTATTAGAACCCAGGTCAGCCAGATTCAAACTCCTGCTCTGGTACTCTGCCATATAATGCTGAAAGCATTTTATGGATGACATGGAAACTGAGGCTCTGAAAGATTAAAAATGGGGACTTTTAGGGTCCCTTCTAGGCCTGTCTATGACTCTACCTATATCTTAGTGGTGCTGGAAATACTAAATGAGAATTTGTAAGTGCCATATAAACCATAAAGTGCTATATGAATGCAAGGAATTGTTATGTATCTGAGTTGCAATTTTTGACCATTTCTCTGATGACAAAGGCATTGCTTTCTATTAGCCTTCAATATAGATGTTGTGTCATTGGAGGGGAAAAAAGTTTGTTTAGAAATTACCTAATTTGGCCAGGTGCAGTGACTCATGCCTCTAATCCTAGCACTTTGGGAGGCCGAGACAGGAGGATCGCTTGAGGCCGGGAGTTTCAGACCAGCCTGAGCAAGAGTGAGACCCTGACTCTACAGAAAAATAGAAAAATCAGCTGGGCATGGTGTCACACACCTGTAATCCCAGCTACTCGAGAGGCTGAGGCAGGAGGATCGCTTGAGCCCGGGAATTCAAGGTTGCAGTGAGCTATGATCATGCCACTGCATTCCAGTAGGGGTGACCAAGCTAGACCCTGTCTCAAAAAAAAAAAAAAAAAAAAAATTACCAAATTTAGGTAGTCATTTGGGAATGACCTGTTTTGAAAGAGAATATAAGATCAACCAGGTCACAAACAACGTCCATGAAAATCATCTCATTTTGTCTTTGCAACAACTTAGGGCTGGCATGACAACTCAACCTTGCTTTGCAGATGATAGACCTCAGGCCCAGGGCAGTTAACTGGCTTTCTCAAGGTCACCTGGCTACTACAAGTGGCAGAGACAAGATCTGGCTCCAAAAGCTTTGAAGGATTTGCTAGAAAATGTGGATTTTATACTAGTTATGCCTCATTTCCAGTTTATCCTTATTCCCAGGGTAGTGTCTGTCATATCCTGGCACCTTTCTTTCCTTTAGTTGCTATTGTGGCTGAAGAGTAGGTTAACTAGGAAGCCATCCACTTACTGTTTCATCATGACTATTTTTTTTAAACTGGCATCTCTTACTCTCTCCACAGCTCTGAAGAGGCTGAGGGACTCAGCCAATGCCAACGATGTGGAAACAGGTGAGTGTGCACAGTGGGTCCAGCTCCAGGGACCCATGGGCTGGTTGGGGAAGGAAACATCCAGGTAACCAATACCTGAAAAGACAGTCCACCAGCTCACTCCTTTAGAGCAGGCCCACTGTATTTATTGTCTGACTTTGCAATCATTTTGCACAAGAAAAGTCTGGCTTAGACATTCACTGTCTCCATGCTCCCCTGTCAACCTGAACTTCCTGATGTTATAGCATTTAGCACCCTGTGGACTCCCTGATGGTGGGGAGTGTGTATGCTTTTATATCCCCACTCAGCCCCCAAAAAGAGTAGGTGCTCGTTTTGGAACTTTTGATTAATAGGAGCGAACACTCAACTTTAACTGCCAGGTGATGATCTGCACAGGGCCACCACCTTCAGCTGCTAAGCGAGATTTTGTGGTAGTTAGGTCAAGTGGCTTTCAAACTTGTGTAGTTGACAGAGCATCTGAAAGGCATGGGTGGGTCTCCTAGCAGGACACTACTCTGTCTGGTTTTTTGTTGTTGCTTTCCAACATTCGCTAGCTGACAGGGCAGTAGTAACATCAAAGTTACAAGAACAATTTATAGGATAAAACATTAAATTTTATCCCCTGACTGAATTCTTCCTGTGAATCAGGGAAAAGTGGTGAATTAGTTTTCTTTGGCTGTTTTAACAAATTACCCCAAACTTAGTGGCCTAAACAACACAAATCTATTATCATACAGTTCTATAGATCAGAGGTCTCACTCAGCAGACTAAAATGTAGATGTTGTCAGGGCTGCATTTCTTTCTGGAGGCTTTAGGGGAGAATCTGTTTTCCTTGCCTTTTCCACCTTCCAGAGGCTTCTTACATTCCTTGGCTCATGGCTTCTTCCTCTATCTTCAAAGCCAGCAACAGTGGGCTGAGTCCTCACCTTGTCATCTCTCTGCTTCTGGCAGTAGGAAAAGATTCTTTGATTTTAAGGACACATGTAATTAGATTGGGCCTAGATAATCCATGATAATCTCTACATCTCAAGGTCCTTTTGTTCTTTTTTTTTTTTTTTTTTTT